GGCATTCCCCGCGCGTGTTCCCCGCGGGACGCGCCCGCTCCCCGCAGGGCTCGGCTGCGGTTGCGTGTTTCATTTCCCTCGCACGCTGCACCCGAATTCCAGACGCTTTCTGGGCGGGCTGCTGCATGGACTCAGAGCACAGGTCCTGTGCCGTACCCAGAGGAGGCGGACGGGGCTTCCCCCGGCTCCGGGGAGCGGGGCCATGGAGACGTCGGTCGTGTTTCTGCTGCTTTGCGCCTCGGTTTTCCCAGGCTTTTCCCAGGGCAGAGTTGTTGGAGAGGATGAACCTGGTTTTGCCGAGTGTAATGTGTTCTTCCCTGGACAAGTCCCACCCGAAGGATTTACGGAGCCTTTCCACGTGAAAATCTGTCAGGAATACAACAAAGAGCCTCGCTTTGCAACCCTCTACAGTACTAAGGACAAAATCCCTCTTTATTCAGCTTTTAAGTATACAAAGCCAGCCCAAAGCAAGGAGGAGAACTGGCTGGTGGAACCACAGGTAAGTCAGCTTTTCCTTTGCTGTAAGGCAAGTGTTCCTGGGGAACATTTCCTCTGGGGTGCAGCTGGGGATGGGATTTTGCAGAGGAGGCAGGAGCTCTGCTTCTTGAACTTGGTTTGATATTAATTTAGCAGAAGCAGAACTTATTTTTGTGCTTGGAACTGAGCAAACAAGTAGTTCCTTGTCCCACAGGGCTTTTAATGAGAGCTGGGAGGGGAGGTCTTGTAAAGTCATCTTGGGCAGCAGCTGATGTGCCTGCCCTGCCCAGGCAGCTCTCACGGGCAGGGAGCACCGCGGGTGGGTACCAGGGTTAAACATCACAGGGTCAAGTTGAAGTTTGTTCTGCTGCCAGCACGATCGCAGTGTTGATAAGGGCTCTTTGGCTTCACTGCACAGGGATAAAACATCCATTCACGGCTCACCAAGTTGATGCTGCAGCTTTTTGTTTTGTCCCTGTGTTCCTGTAGGGATGTGGTCCTATAGGGAAATGAATTAACATGTCCTGGAGCATGCAGGCTGCAGTTGGGTCAGAAATGTGCAGGATAAAATGAATTTCCCCAGAGCCTCAGTGTTTTTTGTCTCCCCTGACACTTGGCATGTTTAAGTAAGTCCTTCAGGTTGCTAAATTTAAAGGAAATCCTTAAAAAATTGCTGGTGCACTCAGACAACTTGTATGGTTTGGTTTACCTCTCCTTTTTTTTTTTTTTTTTTTCTTTTTTTTTCTTTTTTTCTTCCCCCCCAGCCCCTCTTTTTGCCCTGTTTCAGGTTTTTCATCAGCCATGATGGGGACTTTTGTAGCAAACATCAAGCTACCCCCATCTATTGTGCTCAGGAAGGCTGGCAGTGTGCAGGGCTGCCTCATCAGAGCAGGAACTGCTGCAGTATCAGAGCAGCATGTTGGGAGCTGGACATTGCCAGAATCAAGGCTCACTCCTCACCCAGGAGAATGGCTGCCTTGCTAATTTTCCTCATGTGTGGTGATGAGATACTAAGGCCATGAGGTCACAGACAGTGAAGACAGGAGATTCTACATCCCTGTCTTCACCTTGGACTTCCTCCCAGCTCTCTGGGCTGAGTTTTGAGTTGCAGGAGTTCCCAAGGACCTTTTGATCTCTCTTTCCACTTCACAGATGGCTGTGGGAGGCGTCTGCTTGCCCTTTTAAAATAAGGGGAAGCTTTTTGCAGACTCTGCCATTATGAAGTTAAGGAAGGGTGATTAATTTTTAAAGCACAAAGAGGACCTAGGCAAGCTTCTTTGGTCAGTGCCGTGGAGACAGTGAGGCAGAGCAGCAGAGATGAGATCCTTTCCAATATGCCTGAGCCACTGACACTCTTCCTCACCTCTAGGCCCCTTATGTCCTCCTGCTCTTTGTGGTCTGTCTTACCAGACCTGCCCAGATAGCCTTGAAAGCCTTTCCTGCCATGCAGCAGTGGGCAGCTCCAACACATCAGCTTTGGTTCTCCAGCACCCCCCTCCATCTGGCACCCCTGCCCTCCCTGCTCCATCCCTGTTTACCCCTCACCTTGCCATACAATCATAGAATCACTTAGGTTGGAAAAGACCTTCAAGATCATCAAGTCCAACCATTAACCCTACTCTACCAAGTCCAGCACTGGGCCACATCCCCAAGCGCCACATCCAAAGAGCTTTTAAACACATCCAGGGATGGTGACTCAACCACCTCCCTGGGCAGCCTGTCTTAATGCCTGACAACCCTTTCAGTGAAAAAGTTCTTCCTCATGTCTAGTATAAACCTCCCCTGGCACAGCTTGAGGTGATTTTCTCTTGATCTATCACCAGTTACTTGTGAGAAGAGACCAGTGCCTACCTCTTTACAGGCGCCTTTCAGATAGTTGTAGATGGCAATGAGGCCTCCCCTCAGCCTCCTTTTCTTCAGAGTAAATAGCCCTAATTCTTTCAGCCTCTACATAAAAGACTTGTTCTCAAATCTTCACCAGCTTCACTGGACAGTCTCCAGTACTTCAGTGTCCTTCTTGTATTGAGGTGCCCAAAACTGGACACAGCACTTGAGGTGTAGCCTCACCAATGCCAAGTACAGAGGGACAATCACCTCCCTGGTCCTGCTTGCCACACTATTTCTAATCCAGGCCAGGATGCCTTTGGCCTTCATGAACCCCTGGGCACACTTCTGGCTCTTGATCAGTGGCCTAGCAATCAGAACCCCCAGGTCCCTTTCTGCTGGAGAGCTCTCTAGCCACTCTTACCCCAGCCTGTAGCGTTGCTTGGGGTTGTGGCCAAAGTGCAGGACCCAGCACTTGGCCTCGTTGAACTTCACACAGTTGACCTCAGCCCATCAATCTGGTCTGCTCAAGTCTCTTTGTAGAGCCTCCCTACCCTCAGGCAGATCAACACTCCCTCCCAACTTGGTGTCATCTGCAAACTCACTGAGGGTGCATTCTATCTCCTCATTAAGATCATTGATAAAGATACTCAAAAGAAGTGTTGCCAACACTGAGCCCTGAGGAACCCCACTTGTGACTGGCCACCAGCTGGATTTAGCTCCATTCCCCACCACTCTCTGGGCCCAGCCATCCAGCCAGTGTTTTACCCAGCAGAGCAGATGCCCATCCAGGCCATGAGCAGCCAGTTTTATCATCAGAATGCAGTGGGAGACAGTGTCAAAGGCCTTAGGGAAGTCCATGTCTCATACTTCTCCACCTCCTCATTTTCCAGCTCAGGAGACTGGGTGTCATCATCCTTGTCAGCATTACCTAAACCCTGTGTCCCAAACCCTGTGTCTTCTGCCACCAAAATCTACTGCAGCACCAGAAGTAATTGGCCAGGTGTTTCCTTTAGTTGCACTGGAGCAACATCACTCTGAGAGAGGAAATACCAGGGGAAAAAAAAATATGGTGGAAGAATTTGTAGGGGGAAGAAATCAGGACTATGAAAAATTCCTATAACTCAAAAAATAAGCATGTACACCCTCTCAGCCACTGCCAGGCTGGATCTGGGAGGAGAAGGTGGGGAAAAAGATTTCACACCCCTGATGTGTGTTTCTGTCAAAGTCGTGTCAGATGCTTAGGAAAGATCAGATGGCTGCTTAGGAGAACCCACAGTAGCACCTGCTCTGCAGCATAGCCCAAGTGGTTATGTTGCCTCGTTTCTGGGTAATTTCCTTGTCAAGAGAGGGATAGCTGGGTATGAGCAGGCTCAGTTTCACAGTGGCATGTGCTTATGCCTGTGTACATGCACATGAAGATGCAGAAACACAGGAAGCAGAAAGAAATCACTATAAAAACACTCTAAACACTCTCATGAGGGCTTCGGGGCTGTCACATGCCTTTTTTGGGGTAATGATGTAAGTGGTGAGGGCATTGTCTCACTCCCTCCATGCCTACCTCCTCAGGAATGTCTGCCTGGGAAACAAATGTCAAATGTAGTGCAGAGGCAGTAACTGGGTGAGAAGTGCAAGGAATGTCAGTGCCACCCACCACCAATTGGCAGCTGGAAACAGCAAATTAATTCAGCAATTAATGAAAAATTAGAGAGCAGGAAGGGTAGACTGATGAGCAGATTCCTGATGGCTCAGGTCTGAAAACTTGCTTTGTCACAGATCTCCTAGGGGCTAAGAGCAAGACACTTAGGTGGCTTTCCCCTCGTCTCAGTTTGGTTGTATGAAAATCTATGGTTTTGAATCTTTCTGTAGCTTGGAAGGAGATTGAAGACTCTGGAGGTTCTTTTTCTACCCTAATGTATGAAGGGCTGGAAGAATCAGCTTGTGTTTTTGTTTGGTAGATGACTACCACCAGCCAGATGACCAGGGTGGGACTGGCATCACCCACCTATAGTACCTCTGAGCTCCTCTTGCCATCTCTCTTGGTAAACAGTCAAGATAAACAGGTATTTCTGGAGCCACCCATGTGAATGTCCTACAACAGAAACCTTGATGTAAGAGGTACTGTGCCTGCTCCCTGACAAACGAGTCCCACACTAAGGTTAGATGAAATATTTCCACTGCAATCAAAGGTGTAAGCTTGCCTGAGGCAGCAGTGAGGGGAGGGGGATGCTGATGTTCACCTGGATCCTCAGTACAATGGTGGGGAAAGTGGGAGGTAGCAGTGTCCAGCCTTGTTAAATGACCAAACTTGATGGAAGCTGCCTGCCCTAATGCCAGTGTGTTGCTTTCAATCCCCCTCTGCCCCTTCTGTGAGACTGCAACCCTCCCTTAATGAAGCACACCAGTATTGTTAGGTGCTCACATCCATACAGGTGTTCAGATGCATAATTCATCTTTAAATCCCCATCCTATGAATGAGATATTTACCTGTCTGCTTGCATCTTGCCCTTAGCTGTTCCAGGTTATTTGGACAGGTGGCTTGATGGCTGACTCCATGGATGCAGATAGGCTTTGGCAGTGACACAAATGAAAAGCTGTTTGAAGCAGTGAGGAAAGGTATCTGGCAAGATGCAGTGCTGGAGACAGCCTGCCTTTGGGGCTGAGCTGGAGGAGACATGAAAACCGCAGCTACACACGAGTTATTACAAACCATAACATGAGTTATTACAAGCATACCTTGGTGATGTCAGAACCTTACGCAGGAACAGCACACAGCCACATTTTTATCATGGGCTTTTTTAATTGCACCTAAACAATCCCAGTGGTATGTGCAAAAGCCTGCAGCTCAACAGGTAACCAGACATATTTTCTTGATAGGCACCTCAAGCTTTGCATGTGTCAGCTCCTAAACAGAGACAATTAACTCTATACCATCTGCTTCACGTAGGCTGGGAGTGTCTGCCAGGAGGCAGAGCTGACCTGTCTTGGTCCTGTGTGCTCTTGTGGTACAGAACCTCAGCCCTCCTGCAACATTCCCCTTCACTTGTCAAGAAGGCAGAAGGGTCCTGAAGCAGGAAAAGGGCTGCAGTGCTGCCATGGGCATCTCTGCAAGGGTGTCAGGCTCACAAGGGCCATAGCATGAGGGGCAGTTCCCAGGCACAGCCTCACACCCAGGCCTACTCCCTCCTTACCTGTGCCGTGGGGTTAAATGTACCGAGTGCATCCTTTGTCCCCTGGCACAACAGTGTCACCTCATCAGAACAGGGAGAATGGTTTGGGGAGACAGGAAAGGGACAGTGGTTTTGTGGAACATAAAATGTCTGGCCTCATCAGCGACCTGCAGCCTGTGAGTTTGAGCAAGAGGAGCAGAATAAGGCAGCAACGATGCAGGATAAGTCTTTTTTTAAAGGATGCATTTAGAAAAAGCTATGACTTGTGCTTCAGCACGTAGGGCTCCCTGCGATCGTTCCAGTCCTGAAGCAATAAGCACCAGCTGCTTCCAAGCAAAGCGCAAGAACCCTCCTAGCAGGAGGGGGGGCAGTGCAGCCCCTGCAGGGCTGCCCTTGGCACCGTGGGCAGCCGTGGTGCTGAGGGAGCCTGGACGGCAGGGCTGGCTGGTGGCTGTGCTCGGTCCCATGGCCGGGGGATGCACAGCTGCTGCTGGCAGTCGCTGGTGGTATCTCCTCCCCCTGCCTGTCAGCACAGGCTGGCACAGAGCTGCCAGGAGCTGCCACGGCACTAAGGGATGCAAACTCTGGATATGGTTGCAAGGACGTGAGTGGACATCTGTCCAAGTGCTTAGCAGGACAGCCGAGGGAAGAGGAAGGGTGACTGGGAAGTGATTCAAGGTAGAAAATTAATTGTTTGCCATAGATGTCTCCAAAGTACATATCCCATGGTGCAGTAAACAATCCATAGGCCAGGAGCAAAGACAGGGTGTGTAGTTGTGCCAGCACAGTGCTGGGAGCTGAGGTCCACGGCCTCTGAAACAGAAACCAGAGGAGGCCATGACTGCTAGACACTGTCTGCCACCCCTGAGCTTCTACCAACATGCTCACCCTCTAATCTGGGGAAACAATTACAATCTATCTGGCACATCCCCCTGGAGCAGCTGCAGGCAGTGCCAATAGATGTGACTAAGGGACAGGCAGAGCTGTGGACACCTGAGAAATCCCTGAGCAGACCCTGGCATTTAGTGCTGCTGCTCCCACTGCTCATTACCTCCCCATGCCTGGCTCTGTGTGCAGCTCCAGGATGAATTCCTGCTGCAGCAATTACTGCCTCCAGCTCGGCAGCACAGGCAGACACAAGTATGTAGCACAGATTCCATCAAGGACCTGTGGTGATAGTGTCCTTGCCCATGTTACACCAGGAGGTGGGTAGTCATTAAGGGTGAGGTTCAGACTACTAATGACAAGCCCTGAGAAAGCCCCAGCAGCTCATTGCTGTGTCTGTGTCCAAGGCAGGGAGGTTCAGGTCACCTGCCATGGTGCTTGGCTTCATTCTGACTTTTTACACAAGCAGTGTAAGTGTGCAGAGGTAAATGCCTTTGCTAGTGCTTTATATACCTTATATATGCTTACCCCACCTGGAGTACTGTGTCCAGTTCTGGAGCCCACAATACAGGAAGGACATAGAGCTCTTGGAATGAGTCCAGAGAAGGGCCACAAAGATGATCAGAGGGCTGGAGCACCTCTGCTATGGAGACAGGCTGAGAGAGTTGGGGTGTTCAGCCTGGAGAAGAGAAGGCTCTGGGGAGACCTTATAGCACCTTCCAGTGCCTGAAGGGGCTACAGGGAAGCTGGAGAGGGGCTACAGGGAAGTTGGAGAGGGGCTTTTTATTAGGGTGAGTAGTGATGTGAGGGGTAATGGTTTTAAACTGGAAGAGGGGAGATTTAGGTTAGATGTTAGGAAGAATTTACTCACTCTTAGAGTGGTGAGGCACTGGAACAGATTGCCCAGGGAGGTCATGGAAACCCCCTCCCTGGAGGTGCTCAAGGTCAGGTTGGATGGGGCTTGGAGCAACCTGGTCTAGTGGGATGTGTCTCTGCCCATAGAGAAGGGGTTGGAACTAGATGATCTTCTAGGTCCCTTCCAACGCAAACCATCATATGATTCTATGTTGGGTTTTTTTCATGGCTTGGATGCAATAGTTCAGAGGACTGAATTAAGGTGCCATGGTAGGTGCTTAAATGAACTGGGGGTACAACCACCACAGGAGGTGAGAACGTAGCCCTAAATCAAGCCATGTATTGGTCTTAAAAATTTATTCTAGAAAAAACCCCACAAGTTAGCAGCTTGGTGCAGGATGGCTGGTCAGATTCTGGTGGCTGTGTTGTGCTGCAGATTGAACTGGAGAGCAGCAAGAATCCTTTGCAGCCTAAAGCAATGCCCTTGGCAGGGCAGCTAAGTAGATCATATGCTTCTCTGAAGTGCTGCAAGGAAGAAAAGGACCGAATGCAGGATGTGGTCTGAGGCACAGTGTGTAGTACCAGTTACAATGGAGAATATACTTTGAGGTCCATTTTACACATTGCTTTTTAGGAAGGCAAATTGCATCCAGTAACTCTCCTCTTCATTGTGATTTCAGATAGATGATCCAGAAAATGACCTACATGAGATGGTGCATGAAGCTGATATCGCTGGCACTGTGGCCAACCTTGGTGCAAATCAAGCCCTGACCTCAGACTACGTGGACTCTGGTTATGAGAGAGGGCTGCTCAATCCCAGCTCGCTCAATGAGAAGGATTTCCAGATGGCCACTTACACTCTCACAAACGCCGTCCCTCTGAGCCTGTCTCTGAGCAAAAGCTGGCACAGAGACATTGGGACGGTAGTTGAGGAAGCTCTGGTCCCTCACTGCTCCAAGAAGGACCACCTGTATCTCCTTGCAGGTGCAATTCCTTCCAGTGTCCGAGTTAAAGGGAAGGTGTCAGTGCCAGAGACCCTCTGGCTGGCAGCCTGCTGTAATGCTCCAGATGGATGGTCCCTGGGACTAGTGAAAAAAATGAATGATGAAAACAGCTTGGTGGACCTCACGGTGAGAGAGCTGGAGAAGCAGCTTCTAGCAGGAGTTCATCTGTTCAAGGGCAACTGTGGGAAAGACAACCAAAGCCAGGGGAAAACAGAAGCAATACTGCAAGCTGTCAGTCAGATCCGTTCCAGAGAGCAAGTAGGAAGTAGTGACAACCAGGAGGCCAAAGGCAGTGGCTTGGTGAGAAGACTGGCTGGCATCATTGCTACACCTTTCATCAAACTTCTGGAACTCCTCATCTACGTCTTTGTGGAGCTGGTGAAATTTGCATTTTATTTTCTGTGGCTTGTTATCAAGCGGGTTGGTGGTACAGTTCTGGATGGAGTCTACAGCCTGTGCAGCGGGGTGGTGTCCTACCTTAAAGCCATCAGCATGGTGCTCATCAGCATCCCCTATGATCTGGGGAGGTTGGGGTGTTCAGCCTGGAGAAGAGAAGGCTCTGGGGAGACCTTATAGCACCTTCCAGTGCCTGAAGGGGCTACAGGGAAGCTGGAGAGGGGCTACAGGGAAGTTGGAGAGGGGCTTTTTATTAGGGTGAGTAGTGATGTGAGGGGTAATGGTTTTAAACTGGAAGAGGGGAGATTTAGGTTAGATGTTAGGAAGAATTTACTCACTCTTAGAGTGGTGAGGCACTGGAACAGATTGCCCAGGGAGGTCATGGAAACCCCCTCCCTGGAGGTGCTCAAGGTCAGGTTGGATGGGGCTTGGAGCAACCTGGTCTAGTGGGATGTGTCTCTGCCCATAGAGAAGGGGTTGGAACTAGATGATCTTCTAGGTCCCTTCCAACGCAAACCATCATATGATTCTATGTTGGGTTTTTTTCATGGCTTGGATGCAATAGTTCAGAGGACTGAATTAAGGTGCCATGGTAGGTGCTTAAATGAACTGGGGGTACAACCACCACAGGAGGTGAGAACGTAGCCCTAAATCAAGCCATGTATTGGTCTTAAAAATTTATTCTAGAAAAAACCCCACAAGTTAGCAGCTTGGTGCAGGATGGCTGGTCAGATTCTGGTGGCTGTGTTGTGCTGCAGATTGAACTGGAGAGCAGCAAGAATCCTTTGCAGCCTAAAGCAATGCCCTTGGCAGGGCAGCTAAGTAGATCATATGCTTCTCTGAAGTGCTGCAAGGAAGAAAAGGACCGAATGCAGGATGTGGTCTGAGGCACAGTGTGTAGTACCAGTTACAATGGAGAATATACTTTGAGGTCCATTTTACACATTGCTTTTTAGGAAGGCAAATTGCATCCAGTAACTCTCCTCTTCATTGTGATTTCAGATAGATGATCCAGAAAATGACCTACATGAGATGGTGCATGAAGCTGATATCGCTGGCACTGTGGCCAACCTTGGTGTAAATCAAGCCCTGACCTCAGACTACATGGACTCTGGTTATGAGAGAGGGCTGCTCAATCCCAGCTCGCTCAATGAGAAGGATTTCCAGATGGCCACTTACACTCTCACAAACGCCGTCCCTCTGAGCCTGTCTCTGAGCAAAAGCTGGCACAGAGACATTGGGACGGTAGTTGAGGAAGCTCTGGTCCCTCACTGCTCCAAGAAGGACCACCTGTATCTCCTTGCAGGTGCAATTCCTTCCAGTGTCCGAGTTAAAGGGAAGGTGTCAGTGCCAGAGACCCTCTGGCTGGCAGCCTGCTGTAATGCTCCAGATGGATGGTCCCTGGGACTAGTGAAAAAAATGAATGATGAAAACAGCTTGGTGGACCTCACGGTGAGAGAGCTGGAGAAGCAGCTTCTAGCAGGAGTTCATCTGTTCAAGGGCAACTGTGGGAAAGACAACCAAAGCCAGGGGAAAACAGAAGCAATACTGCAAGCTGTCAGTCAGATCCGTTCCAGAGAGCAAGTAGGAAGTAGTGACAACCAGGAGGCCAAAGGCAGTGGCTTGGTGAGAAGACTGGCTGGCATCATTGCTACACCTTTCATCAAACTTCTGGAACTCCTCATCTACGTCTTTGTGGAGCTGGTGAAATTTGCATTTTATTTTCTGTGGCTTGTTATCAAGCGGGTTGGTGGTACAGTTCTGGATGGAGTCTACAGCCTGTGCAGCGGGGTGGTGTCCTACCTTAAAGCCATCAGCATGGTGCTCATCAGCATCCCCTATGATCTGGGGAGGGTCATCGTCAACATCTGCCTGGGCTTCCTGCAAATTGTTCAAGATGTGGTATTCCTCACCTACCGGATCCTGTGCATCCCCTTGGGGTTTGCCCTTCACCTCGTTGCTTTCCCTTACCACTCCATCTGTGCCATTCCCTCTGTCCTAAAAGACATGGCTGCTGGGATTGGAGGCACCTTCTCACTAGTCATCGATGCCACAGCTGCAGTCCTGCATGGCTTTTACTACCTGGCTGGTCACATAGTCAAACGGTTTGTCCCTAAAGGCTCCTCTGATGACTGATGGGGATGGAAACCAAGGCTGCAAAGACACGGACTCAGGGAGGAGTGGGAAAAAGCTTTAAGATACGTGGCCAAATGCTATCAGTTTTGTTCTGGTATTTATTGTAGTGACATTAATAATAATGAAATGACTGGGGAGGAACGGGGAGGGCTGAGGTAACGTTGCTGGGGGTGCCACCACTGTAACTCAAGGTGTGTCTGTTGTTAAGTGTTGGGGTTTTATGGGTGCAGGCCACAAATTTTCTGTGATTTGCAGATGCTTCCTCTGGGAGATGCATGTTAAATGTGGTACAAGGTTACTTCTTTCTGGCTATGATAACACTGAGAACTATGCACTGGCAGCGAGCTCTGCAGAAGCCCGTCCCTGCCAGGGAGGAGGTGGTGGTCAAAGGAGGATTTTAGTTATGGAGGGTTTTCTGGGACTTGGAGAAAGGAGAAGGAAGCATGCGTGCAAGGACTTATGGCTGGGAAACAGGAGGCAGCAGGGCATGATGGGAGCAAGGTCCTGCTTTTTGTTGCACTGCTCATTGAATCAAGGTGGAAGGGATGCAATCCACTGGTGAAAGGGATGCAACCAGATGTATCTCATAGTCATCAGGTCTTTCCAGGCAGCTGAAATCACATGGATCTTGCTGTAAGGAAAGACCTACTGCATGTTACTTTGCATGGTGGGAAAACATTTTCCCTTAGCTGTACCAAGGCTATCTTCCCAAAACCCTTCCTTGCTCTCTGGTGACCACTGAAGGCTTAAGTCCTGAAGCTTCAAGACATGGCATTCCCTGAAGGTATAAGCCCTGAATGTCCCAACCATGAAGCCCTTGTGCCTGCTCTGAAGCCCAGCAGCATCTGAGAGTCACGCTTTTGGCTTTGAATCAGATGCCTCCTGCCATGCCTCCCTTGAGAGCTGACAGCTCCCCAGGCACACAGTGTATTCACATGCCCAAGATCTCAACGAGATGATGCCCAGGCTGCAATAGGTACCACCACAGCTGTCCTCCTGAGGCTTGTTTTGAAAGCACACCTTGCTGGGAAAAAATTATGCTCCTGGGTTTCCTCTAGGGCAGAAGAAAAGCAGCTCTTCCCATCAGTCTGGGATTGTGGCAGGGACTTCCCTACAGAAAGAGGACATGGGAGAGGAGATGCATAGGGAGCATGGGAGGGATTTTGCTGCTTTTGCACAGGCTGATTTGGTGTTTTCACAGCCCCTTCCTGGAGGCAGAGTTGGAACTGGGCAGGAGCCAGCCCTGGGCAGGGCAGGTGGGTCCCCTCTGTGCTGTGCTGGGAGTGCAGCTGGCCTGGGGGACATGAAGGAAGGTAGTCTTGCAATCAGGAGAGAAAAGGCAGAGGAAATAGGAGACTCATGGTGAGTTACCTGCACTCGGAGGTCCTGGCAGCACTCATGGAAGAGACCACCCACGAGAGGAAGAGAGGTCTGCATGGCTGCTGCAGATGCAGGAACCATCATGGTGAAGCTCAACATGACCCCAAACAGCAAAGCCTTTTGCTGGGCATTTCCCTTTCTAAGCTGATTTTGGAAATCTGGAGTAGGGAAGAAGTGGTTGCACCCACAGAGGGAGATCTGGGGTGCAGCACTTATTTTCTTCTACATGGCTTGTCCTCTCTGCTCGCTCCTCACCCCTTTTCCTCACTGGTATGAGCCAGGACCTCCCACATCTGGGACACCAGAGCTGGGTCACGTGTGGAGGATTTTCAGGGAACCATCAAGGGGTTGCAGCTGGATGAGGGAGAGGCACAGGGACACCTGGCACTGCTGGAGGAGAGCACAGGTTTGCTGCCATTCCTCAGGGTTTGGCTCAGCATGGGGCTTTGGATCTCTTGATGCAGTTGCCTGCAGGAGGGAGGATCTGGGTCTCAGCACCATTTGCTGTGGCTGGACTCCGAGGCATTTGAGAGTCCTACTTAAATAGATCCTTCCCTTCACCCCCACCTCTGTCCCTCCTTCCAGCATCTGGTGGTTGTGGGTCCCTGATCTGCCTTAGCATTCCATTAGGAGTCCCAGGGGTGTGCAAGCTGGTGCTGCCATCTCTGAGGGGGGCTGTGTTGGTGGTGGCCAGTCCTGTGTTGAAGAAAGGCTAATTACTCAACACAGCAGCTTCACCTCCAAGCCTCATGCTGCCTGCAGCAAGGTTGCAATGGGGGGATGGAGTCAGAGGGAAAAGGAGATGTGGCTCGTTCATGGTGGTGACAGGGGTGGCATTCATGCAACCAGCTGTGTGTGCACATCCCAGAGCAGGTGGCACCCTGTTTAGCAATGATGTTAATGGCATTGGGGATGCCAATGATGAGGATGAGATGGGGAGGCAGTGGGATGAGCGAGCAGAGAGGATGACACCTTGTCTTACCTTTTGTGGGTCACAGCTGGTTTGTGGAAAAAGAGAGGCTGCTCACAAGCAGCATTGGCTTTGCTCAAAAGGCAAGTCAGCTTTTGTGTGCTGGGGTGTGTAGCTGGGTGAAGCCGGTGGTATTTTACACATCCCTCCTTTGCCTTGGAGCTGTTTGTTCAGGAATTTCAGGTGCAAGGGGCAAGATCCAGGTTGCTCCCAGCAGCCTGCTGATGCTCTCCAAACCAAACTTTGCATCAGTGCCTCAAATGTGCCTTTCCTACTGCAGATCCAGGTGTAGAACTGGTTTCCCACTCCTTTGTGAGACTGTGTCCCAGCCTCTGCACTCCTCTCATGCCACATGGCAGCTGTCAAGGCAGGAGAGCAGCCAGCTGAGGTCCCAGGACATGCCAGGGTAGGGTGACAGTGGTGCCAGCCTGGAGGACCCCGGGTCTCTGGCAGCCTCTGAAGGCATTTGTGGTGGCAGAAGCTTTCAAGTGCAGCTCAAGCATTGGGGAGAAGGTACCTTCCCCCCCAGCTGCCTGTCTCCTGCCTTCTGCCTGGCCTTGTCTCTGACCCACCTCAGATGAGCAGCACTGCAGAGTGGCCAGTGATGTGCTTCTCAGGGTTCCTTCACCCAAAGCAGCTTCCTCACACCTTAACCCAGCAGCCCCCCACATCCCAGCTCCACCAGCAGCTCCACTGCACCCCCGGTCACAGCAACACATGGGAGCTCATGTGCTGAGAAGCAGCAAAGCTGGAGCACCTCGGGAGCTCTGCGTTGCCACATCTCCCCCACCTTTGCTACCCAGCCTCGCTCGGGACAGGCCAGCAGGTCTCCTTGCTGCAACCGTGTCTTCCCACCACTTCAAGGTGGACAGTCCTTGAAATCTAGGGGGCTGCAGCACTGCAGGATTTGGGCAGATGTGGAGCGATGGTGTTAAAACTGTTTTGACTGACTCTGATTCCAAAGGCCAAGAACCGCAACCAGCACCGGGCACTTTCCTTCCGTGCCGCAGGTCTGAGCAGGTGATGGGAAATCTGCCTCCAACGCTGAGCAGTCATAACGGAGCAAGCAACATCCTGCTACAAACTAACTATTGTTTGAGATTATTCTTATCTGGGCATGATTTATGGCTTCTGAGCTTTACTCTATCCTTGGAAACATATGGCTTCAACAAAATAAAAGTTACTTTTCCAAAGAGGGGCTGGTATCACGTTTCTGTCGTTGCTGCAAACAAGATAATGCAACCCAGGGTGCCCTGACTAATCAGGAAAGCACCCGCAGCACAGTTGCTCTTTGTTACAGCTTGACATCTGATATTAATTGCTCTTTTGTGCTTTTAAAACACCTTTCCTCTCTCAAAGCATTTTAAAAAGAGTTAATTCCTTAAGCTTCAGAATGTATAGGTAAAAGCAGAGGGGTTGCAAGCAGTGGATTCAGCTCTGTGTGCCCCAAAGAAGGTGGAGAGGGGATTTTTTTTTTTGTCCTTGTGAGATGCACCTGAGGTGCACCATGACAGCCAGTTTGGTTACAGAAAAATCACATCAGATCAGGATGATTCTTCGCAGCTGACAGGGAGAAACTCCTCCTTCTGTGATGCCATTCCCTTGCCCAGTTTCATCCTGACTTTAAAAGGAGAAGCACTCTCTAAAAGTGGTAGTTTTCCTCCTCTGACAGGATAGAGATCTGGGGATCACTATACCAGATGTTGACACCTGCATTTTGGAGGTACCTGTGGGCAGATGAACCCCTCCAGCAGAGCCTGCATTCCTCTCGGATCTGCAGGAACTCATGTGAGACACTAGAACAGGTTGCCCAGAGAAGTTGTGGCTGCCCCATCATTGGAAGTGGTCAAGGTTGGGTTGGATGGGACTCCTGCCTCAACCAGCTCACCCAACGCTTCAACACAGGGTCTCTGTACACCTTGAGGTGACCCGTCTCTGCTGCATTCACCCTGGGGCTGGGCACTAACAGCAACCCCAGCAGCACGGTCCCTAGGTCACAGCCCTTGGTTCAGGTCCTCTGTGTGGACCTCTGCTGCCATGGCACATTTCAGAGCTGTTCACCTCTGTGTGGAGCTCCACCACCAGCTCTGTACCTCCCTCTGCCCAGGGAGCTGCTCCAGTTGGGCAGGGAACCAAGCCACGCTGGTTCATAGGTTATCTCTCCAGCTTAGTCAGTGCCAGAAAATGGAAAAGCTGTCAGAAAACAATCACCAGTGCAACTTATTTGGTCAGGAAGGATTGCCTGGGAGCAAGGAGCATGAGGTGTGTCTGGGACGTGATTTTTAGCAAGGTTGCAATTCTGCTGGGTTTGGGACAATTTCTGTCTGTTGCATGGTCTGCAAAACTGTTGGACTTACTTCAGTTTGGGAATGGACCTCACACTGGGCAACATCTGCCATTGATTTCCACAGAACTGGTATTTCCAGCCAAGCAGAAAGTCCTACAGACTTTCCAGAGGTGTTAGTGTTACAGCTGGTTGGCAAATCTCCAAAGAAATATATCCTGTCAGAATGGGGTGATTTGTCAGAGATGGTTCATGGCAATTTATTGCTTTTAGTGGAAAAGATTTTTCAGGTCCAGGCTGGAACAAGAACCAGAATAATCCAAGAGCAGGCCAAGATCTGGATTAGAGGTTTGGACATGGACATTC